CACCATTTCAGCATCAGTACCTGTATATAACACATCATCAACATAGATGCTTACTAACAGCACCCCTTGATTAGATTTCTTGATTAACAACGTGGCTTCATGTGGACATTTATGGAAACCAGTTGCAAGGAAGTGAGCTTCTATTCTGCTGTACCAAGCTCTGGGAGCTTGCTTCAAGCCATACAAGGCTTTCTTGAGCTTGTAAACTTTATCTTCCTCCCCAGCAACCACAAATCCTTGTGGTTGCTCAACATAAATATCTTCACTGAGTTCTCCATGCAGGAAGGCACTTTTGACATCAAGTTGCCATACTGGAATGCCATGGTGTGCAGCAAAAGCTAGAAGACACCTGATGGTGTCCCACATGGCTACTGGAGCAAAAACCTATTTGTAGTCTATCCCAAACTTCTGAGCATATCCCTTGACCACCAATCTCGCTTTATGTTTATCAAGGGTTCATGTCTCAGTGAGTTTAGTCTTGTAAATCCACTTTAAACCAATAGGAATTACACCTGCAGGAAGAACAGTGAGTTCCCAGGTATTGTTCTTGTCAATGGACTTCATCTCCAACTTCATTGCCTCATTCCAAACTGCATCTCGAGAGGCTTCCTCAAAGGTTTGAGGATCATCTATGATTGTAGTCATAGCTAGCCATTCTGATTGCTCTTCTTCTGCACAGCTGCACTCATAAATTGAGAGGTGGACAGGTGGCTTCCTTGTTCTGGGACCCAATTCAGTAGGCAAACCTAACACATCAGTTGGGTCTTCCTCATCATCCCATCTGTAGAGTTAAGACCAGTAGGAGGTGCTGGTGTTTTTGGACTGCCTGGTTCTTCCTCAGTCACTTCTTCAGGAACTGCTGGTGCTGAAATTTAAGGTCCTTCCTCTCCATCAGAATCAACATAATCATCATCACTCCCTTCCCATATCAAACTTGTTAGGACTGGTTGGATGTCAGATTTCCACTTCCAGCCTTTACTTTCATCAAAAACAACATCTCTACTCACCAGGATTTTCTTTGTTTATGGATTGTACAGCCTGTATGCCTTTGATTCTGCAGAAATGCCTAGAAAATGGCATGGGATACTCTTGTCATCAAGCTTTTTCCTGAATTTATCAGGAATGTGTGCAGAAGCCACACAACCAAACACCCTGAAATGAGATATAGGTGGGAAAGCACCAGTCCACAGCTCTTGAGGTGTTTTTCCAGCATTTGCCACTGTGGGACTTCTATTTAGGACATGAGTTGTCCAATTAACTGCTTCTGGCCAGAAAGCAGCTGGTACCTAAGTGTCTTTCAACATGCATCTTACCATGTTCATGGTAGTTCTATTCTTTCTCTCAGCCATCCCATTCTGCTGGGGAGTCAAGGCAACTGTAAGTTGCCTTTTGATGCCAGATTCAACACATAAGGACTGAAATTCACTCAGTAAGAACTCTCCTCCCCTATCTGTTCTAAGACAGAGAATAGATAGACCTGTTTCCTTCTCAACTTGAACCACAAATTTCTTAAACCATTCCAATGCTTCAGACTTAGCAGCTAGAAAGAAAACCCATAGCTTCCTACTGAAGTCATCGATCAAGGTAAAGATGTACCTTTTTTCCTCCATTTGAGGTTGGAGTTATGGGACCACACAAATCTGCATGAATCAGTTGAAGCTTCTGAGTTGCCCTCCATTGACTATGTTTAGGAAAAGCTTGTCTGGTCTGCTTCCCAATCTGACAGGTGGAACAAACTCCCATTGTTCCTTTTAGTTCTGGAATACCTGTGATAAAGCCCTTCTGTTGAACTTGCATCAGTCCTTGCGGATTCAAATGACCAAACCTTCTGTGCCAAAGAGTGAGAGAGGTGTCCTTGGCACTTCCTGTTTGCACACAATAAGCTTCAGTCTTGTTTGATTCATCCTTCAGGACAAACATCCTGTTGGATCTCATTGAAGTTTCCAACAGAAAACCCTTGTCTTCATGATAGATTCTGCAGACATTCCTCTTGACCATAAACTCTAGTCCCTTCTCCTGCAGCAGTCCCATACTTAATAGATTTGTTTTCAAGCCAGGCACATAGAAAACATTGTGAATAACCAGAGAGACTCCTCCTAGCTGCAGTCTTATCTTTCCTTGACCTGCCACATCCAGTCTGGTGTCATTACCCAGTCTTACTTTTTCAGCCTTAGTTTCCTCTATTGAGTCAAACCATCTCCTATCTCCAGTCATATGATTGCTGCAACCAGAATCTAGGAACCACCAGCTGTGCATTCCTTCTGCTAGAGGTTCTTCCAGGAAAGCCATCAACAGAACATCATCAGGAAGAGCATTATGATCATTGGATTTGGCCTGAGAATAGTAAGCTTGTTGATTTGTGAAACTTCTGCTCATGAACAAGTAATGAACTCTGCAGAGCATCAACAGAGAGGGTTTCTATGTCTTTGGACTCCTCAATGGAGCGGACAACATAGTTAAACCTCTCAGTCAATGTTCTCAAAATCTTCTCAACTATCTTAACATCAGTCATATCTTCTCCACAGTTCCTCATGTCATTTGCCACTACCATAACTCTACTGAAATAAGCAGCAACAGACTCACCCTCTTTCATCTCAAGAACTTCAAAAGTCCTTCCCAAAGCCTGCAACTGGGCCTTCTGAACACAAGCACTGCCCTGGTATTTGGTCTTCATGGCATCCCAGAGCTGTTTGGAGGTGGCCTTGTTGGTGATGGTCTTCAAGATGGATTTGTATATGGAGCTGAACAAGTAGTTCTTGGCCTTTAGGTCTTTGAGCCTGAGATCGTCCAAATTATTAGACTCCACAACAGACAACTGAGTCCCAGCAGCTGGCTCAGGAATGCCTTCACTGACAACCACCCAATACTCTTTTGATCTAAGGAGATTCTCCATGAGAAGACTCCAGTGATCAAAGTTCCCATCGAATTTGGGCAATCCCACTTGTGCAAAACCAGCATTGTCACGCATGTTTGCTGAGAAAAACAATTAACTCTATATTCCCAGAAAGATCACACACCCTTGAAAGGATTTCTCACCAACGTGCTCTCGTGTTTCCCACACCCAGATCCTGCACCTATACTCAATTTCACTCACACTCAATCACTCAAACTTTGCTTGAAAGCAACAATGGTTACAGCCTGCTAGTGCTCTGTTACAAATGTAGAAAGCAATGAACAGCAAACTGACAATCTTTTATTGAATTGGAAGAAAGGTACATATAGAGGTTGATGCAAACCACAATCCCTGGTTGCTCTCAACGTTCACAATCCAGGAATCACGCTAACAATACTCAAACAACTAACTAATTAGCTAAAGACTCTCAACTAATCAAACCACTACTGGCAGGACTCGAATGCAACTTAACACAAACATAATGACTGGTACTGCAATAAACCCAACGATGTCACATTGCTTATTTCTCAGAGACTCGATTTGAACTGCTTCTCTTGGCGCGTTGCTAAACCGAATCCAGTTCGGATTTGGATTCCTTCTCTACAGGCACGTGGGTGGTTAATTCCCGGATTGATATCGATTCACCCGCAAATAATTCGACCCGCACGTAGTGGGTGATTGATGTGGGTGAATTGTGGATTGGTAAATATCCCATCCGCACTTATGTATGTGGTTGGTGGGTGGATTGTGGGTCACCCATATGACCCGCATACTATTTTTACATGAAAAAATGTTGTTTCATATAGTATCGAATATTCATAATATTTTCGAACTGCATTATAGTCTGACCATATACTTCAAAAGGTGGAGAATAAATAATAGTTTTGACTACTATTATTGGTCATTGTGTTGTGCAATATTCATTAGATATTGGATATGGGTATGCAAATTATTGTTAATAACCATTAAATATTGGGATGCAAACTATAAATTATTAATTGTATCAAAATCACAAATTATTGATGCAGTCTCCTAATTTGCTATGAAATTATTTTAAATGTTAGTCAACTTTCTTAATGGCTAAATGGAGAATTGGTTTTGTGGGTTCATCCGCGACCCAACCGCCACCCACTCAACCCAACCCGCAGAAGTATGTGGGTGGATTGTGGGTCACATTTATTCCAACCCGCTAGTAAGCGGGCGGGTCAATTTGAGACCAAAACCCACCCAACCCGCCCGTTGCCCACCCCTACCTGCTAGGAAACGGTTTATTAGAGTATGTGTAGTACGAGTAGTGTTGTGTTATACTACGAGTACTAGTATGTAACTGGGTAGAGTTATATTCCTTATTATAATCCTTATTATAGAGTACAGAGACTGACTTCTATAATAACCCTAACACTAATACGAAAATAACCTAACTTCTACGACACTAATAAGGAATATAACTCTACCCAATTACATACTAGTACTCGTGGTATAACACAATACTACTCGTACTACACATACGTTGTGGAAGCAAACGAACATGCCGATTCTTCCTCGTGCACTCACCGTCTCACTAAGAGCATATATCTACCGCATGCTTTGTCATGGTTTTTTCTGCACCTTCGTATATAACAACGACGACTCTTTGACACTGTAATTTGACCTCATTTTTGTTGTCCTCTATTAGCTTGAGTTTGAAATCATGAACGAATTTTATGTCCGTTTCTGAAAAGTTTAAGGGTGTAGAGTAAAAGTCGAGCTCATCCTCCTCTTTTGTGCACCAAGAGACGGTGGTGGTGGTGATGATGGTAGAGTGAAAGGTTCCAATCAGTGCGAATTTTCAAAAAATAACATATAATCAGTCATTTATTTTCAGACTCACCATATTGAATCACTTGTCAATTTTACGATTAACCAAACAATAAACCGATAACCGATTATTCAATTATCGATTAACCTACTAACATAAACAATTCGGTTAGCTGTAAGTACGGATTGACTAACGATTTAAACCGAGATAATGGTTAGGAGTATAACCGAATCGACTAAATTGTCTTCCTTCCGTCACAATTTGGGCCAGTCCATCGCAGCAGTATCCATCCGCCAGTTTTGCCCGAAAATGCCCCGCCGGAGCTCCCAAATGCACCGTTCTTTCTCGTCCCTCTCGCCGCCGACCGCAGCTCTTCTGGCGGAAAGAGCTCTGCTCCTCCTCAAACGCCACCCGTACCACCTGAACTCCCTCGCGCCCGAATTCACACCCGAAGCAGCTTCCCATTTGCTCCTCAAATCTCAGGACGACCAATCCCTAACCCTAAAATTCCTCGACTGGGCGCGGCCTCACCAGTTCTTCAACCTCCGCTGCAAGTGCCTGGCCGTCCACATCCTCACCAGGTTCAAGCTCTACAAAACCGCCCAGACCCTCGCACAGGACATCGCCGTCACTACCACCGCGGACGACTCCGGCGGCGGATTCGTGTTCCAGTGCCTCAAGGACACCTACTTCATCTGCAATTCCAGCTCCGCGGTGATCGACCTGGTGGTGAAGTCCTACTCCCATTTGAATTTGATCGATCAGGCTCTCAACATTGTGAATTTAGCCAAGGAGAATGGGTTTATGCCGGGTGTTCTGTCTTACAATGCGATTTTGGATTCCTTGATTAGGTCTAGGAAGCCGTTTAGGTTGGTTGAGGAGGTTTATAGGGAAATGGTAGCTAGCAGGGTGTCTTTGAATGTGTATAGTTATAATATCTTGATTAGGGGGTTTTGCAGGGTGGGGAATTTGGAAATGGGGTTGAGACTTTTTGAGGAGATGGAGAAGTATGGATGCTTGCCTAATGTGGTTACCTATAATACGGTGATTGATACTTATTGTAAGTTGAAGAGAATGGATCAAGCGTTTGGATTGATGAGATCGATGGCTTCGAAGGGATTGGAGCCTAATCTGTTTACTTATAACATGGTCGTGAATGGTTTGTGTAGAGAGGGAAGGATGAAGGAGACTGAAGAGGTTCTTTTTGAGATGAAAGAGAAGGGCTTTGTGGCTGATGAGGTTACTTATAACACATTGGTGAATGGTCACTGCAAGGAAGGTAATTTTCACCAAGCTCTCGTGCTCCATGGGGAGATGATGAGGAATGGGTTGTCGCCTAATGTTATTACCTACACGTCTTTGATTAATAGTATGTGTCAATCTGGGAATCTGAACCGAGCAAAGGATTTCTTTGATCAGATGCATGTTAGAGGACTTTCTCCCAATGAGAGAACCTACACAACAATGATAAATGGGTTCTCACAACAGGGGTACATGAATGAGGCTCATCAACTGTTGGATGAAATGAAAGCTAATGGGTTCTCTCCTTCCATTGTGACGTTCAATGCTTTGATAAATGGATATTGTGTTTTGGGGCAGATGGAGGATGCCAAGATGGTGTTTCATGAAATGGAAAGGAAAGGTTTTGAGCCAGATGTAGTCAGTTACAGTACTATCATAACTGGATTTTGCAGAGCTCAAGAGTTGGACAAGGCATTTCATATGAAGATGGAAATGGTTGAGAAAGGTGTTGCTCTAGATGCTATAACATACTCAGCAATCATTCAGGGTCTTTGTGAACAAAGGAAGTTGATCGAGGCATGTGATCTGTTTCAAGAGATGCTGATTATGAGAGTACCTCCAGATCAGGTTACTTATACAACCTTGATTGATGCCTTCTGTAAAGAAGGAGAGTTGAACAAGGCCCTTGAATTGCATGATGAAATGACACGAAAGGGTTTTCTGCCTGATGCTGTTACCTATAGTGTACTTATTAACGGACTAAATAAACAGGCTCGAACTAGGGAAGCAAAGAGTCTATTACTCAAGCTTTGCTACGATAAAGCCATTCCGGATGATGTCATGTATGATGTTCTCATAGAGAACTGCAGCAACATGGAATTCAGGAGTGTGGCAGCTCTTATAAAGGGGTTTTGTATAAAGGGCTTGATGGGAGAAGCAGATCGAGTTTTTGAATCAATGATTGGAAGAAACCACAAGCCAGATGAGGCTGTGTTTAACGTCATAATACATGGTCATTGTAGATGGGGGAATGTAAAGAAGGCGTATAAACTATACACAGAAATGATTCAGTTGGATTACATTCCTCATACCATGACCATCATTAGTCTGGTTAAGGCCCTCTCCAGCGAAGGGATGAATGAGCAGTTAAACCTAGTCGTCGGCCACATATTGAGGAGCTGCAAGCTTAATGATGCAGAGGCTTCTAAAGTACTTGTGCAAATCAACAACAATGAAGGGAGTATGGATGTCGTTTTCAGTTTGCTTGACAAGATGGCGAAGGATGGTCTTCTTCCAAATAGTGGGGTCTCTCGTCGGTGATCGGGTATATGTCAATCCGATGACAATTCTTCTACCTGTCAAGCTTTATCCTAAGAATACAGGGCCTTCTATTGCATTGATGAGTAGGTATAACTCAGCAACAACCATGATTATGTTACCAGCAGTTTTAGAAAATACAGGGAAGTACTGAAGCTCCAAGTGTTCAAAGTGATCGCCGCGTTGCGGTCGAAACTAGACCCATAGTGGTTTGCCAATGAACCCAAGAAGGGCTTTATGCATTGGCATTGTACATTGTTCATGCTATAGGGCAATAGGAAGAAAGAAATAGGAACAGATATCTAGATCGCTAGCTTTTCGACAGCCATTTGTGCTTTATGCTGCGCCTTTGTAGTGCGCTTTGTAAGAGGTTCAAGAACACAATACTACCATTTCCTGCAGTTATGTAGTTGTAATTTGATAAACAATTGCTTGCCAGTAGGGCTGAGCCTACAGTCGAATTGTCCCAAGTACACTAATCAATCACATTCTCACACACAAACGAAACTAATACTCTCCAAGCATTCGTCGAAGATAAAAAAAAAAAAAGAAAATTGAAGGTTCAAACAACAATACAACCCTAAACAACATTACAAAGTTGGGTGTGCTTGTGCTACCAAGCATCTTTTGTTACAGATTTCCTGCCAAATATCTCCACCCCAAGTTAGAGATATACATTTAGCTCGCCAAAATAGAGGACGATAAGTGAACCGCGATCATCTGAACAAAGTTATAGCTACTACATTACCTTGAAGCTCACATCGGAGATCGGTGCTCGATGCACTCCTACCTTGAAGAAAGCCTGTGGTGCAAATCATCAGCAAGAGCCTGCCGCAAGCTATCACCGAAATAATGAAACGATTTCTCGCTCTCGAGCACCCTCGCAGGAGCAGCAGTCTCATCTGGCTCCCTCCAAACATCAGGCTCCGGCTCCCTCATCTGCTGGCACACATTATGCAACACACAGCACGCAACAATCGTCTGCGGGGCATGGCTCAGACCCACATCCAAATCCTGCAAGATCCTCCACCTGCTCTTCAACAGCCCGATCGCGTCAACGACCACAGACCTCCCTTTCATCAGCATCCCATCGAACAGGTTCTGCGCAGGACTCCCCGACCCATTTGGCGAGAAGGGCGTCATCAGGAACGCCATCAAAGGGTAACACCAATCTCCAACTACATAGGGCCTCACATGGTGACCTCGAACATTGATCACCTTATCCCACACAATATCATCTGAAACCAACCGATTGTACAGCAAACTATCCCTGAAATGAGTTGCATCATCAACAGCTCCCGGCGCCTTCACACAGACATCCCAGAACATCTTCTTGTGATCCGACACAACCTGCAGCTGTAGCGCAGGATACCCGTACTCACACCGATACAGATTCGATTCATTTGTCGGGAAAGAACGAAGCTTGATCGGGGTTCCGTCAATAGCTCCACACATGTTGGGCAGTGAAGTCAGTTCTTCGAAAGCTAGAGTAACCTCATTCAACCTACGCTTACTAGCCGGGATCTTAACATACTCAGGGTAAAGCTTAGTAGCCAGCAAGCGAGTAACCATGTTAGTGATCTTCGAAATCAAGTATGGTTCGAGATTGTACCGGGAAGCAAGCGACTTGGCGGAGTAGCCATGTGCGAGCCTGAAGAGCACCATCGAGACTGCAAAATCGGAAGGGAGGGAGAGGTTGGAAGCCGCGATGTGGGGGTTCAGCTTCTCGACGATTTTGGTGAAAACAGGGTAGGACAGCCCGTAGAGCGCCCTCCACTGCGCATCGCGGAGAGGGGCCGACGTCCAATCGTTGCTGAGCGACTGAAACACCGCGACGGTGTAGGCGCCGTTCGCCGGCGGCGCGGGGCGCGGGGAGCTGCCAGATTTGCGGTTCTTGTTGTTGGGTTTGGAGCAGGCGAGGAAGGAGAGGAGGGAGGCGAGGGTGAAGAAGAGGAGCGGCGCGGCGGAGGAGGTGGTGAGGAGGGAGGAGGAAGGTGAGGAGGAGGTGACGGAGGAGGAAGATGGAGTGGAGGAGGCGGAGGAGAGGAGGGAGGTTGATGGGTCTAAAGAGTTGTGGAGGTGGAGGAGGTTTGAGAGCATTAGGAGGAAGGATTCGTCCATGGCGGGTGGTTTTTTTTTTTTCTAGGGTTTTGCAGAGTGGGGAAATTGGGGGTTTGAGTGAGGAGATTAGGGATTGGGGATTTTGGGGGGAGAAGAGGAAGCTTTGGGATGGAGAACTGAAACCGGAGATGGGGAAGATGATCGGATTCCGGCGGTTGGGTTCGATCGGAGTCGGGGGCTTAGCCAGAGATCGACTCCACTGGTTTTAGTTTACAGTCGATCGACTGAGTTTCGCAGCGACGAAGAAGATTACAAATAAACCATTTTCTTCCCGTTGCAGTAAATACTAAATAGATTACACTTTTAGTCCCTCAATTATACTTCTTTACATTTGGATCTAAGAACATTTTCTTATTTATTAGTTTGTTCACTTTAAATCTCATTTCAATTATCGGTTAATCAAATTTTGTTAAATTCGTTCTACCTGTGAAAATTTAATTATACTTTGATGAGTCCACAAATTTATCATGGTTTCTTTTACCCCGCTCTTGAAAAATGTACGGAATTGTGAATGATTCGGTGGCAGGTTTGAGTGATCTAGAGAGGATTCGAAGATGACTCTGAACTATAAATTCACATTTTGATTTTAGGTGATTGTTCTCGAATTCTCACTCTCACTTTACTATGTTAGTTTTCTCACTTTTTTCATGTTTTTCAAATACAGGAATATTGGTCGGTACAATCGGGTTCGATCGATAGTGAACAAAAATATCCTTGAAAATTGCAGGTAAGTGGCGGTAGTTAAAACCGGTTAAAACTACGATGATTTCCTTTTGTTTGTAATGTAGTAAATTATTTAAATATCAATGGAGAGTGTCTTAAGATAGATGGTATAAAACTATAAGTACATAATTCATTTGGTATTTAATGATTTCTCACTTTCTCGTATGTTATATCTATAACGAGATAAACCGGTATATAAATTAGTTGTACCGTGATCATACCACACTACTTGCTAAACTGACATGACGATATAAACTGGTTTGATTTGACCAAGTGACTCTGAAATTCAGAGGACATCTATGTAATTGACTCTAAATTCTGGGGCCAAAGCGGGCACCGGAGAAAGTTTGGGTTAATAAGTCGGCCTTGCTTTGGAGGAGAGAAATAAAACGAAAAGCGGCGGTCGGATCCCAAATCGATCCATCCGAATTCAGAAATACCGAGCCGGAGAAAAATCGAAGAAAACCAAGAGAAGGAGATCGAGAGAGCGAAGCTTTTTCTAGGGCGCGAAGCTTTTTTCTAGGGTTTATCAGAAAGATTCATTCTTTACCCGGAAAGTTGGACGATTGGTAGCTTGCTGTATCTTCCGCCCCCAACAAGATTTCAATCGTCGGCCGCCGGTGAAACCCCTCCTCAACCCAGCCATGACGGAGGTATGTAAAATATGTTCCTCATCGTCCCTTCAATTTCTGTTGATTGCCAATGCCGAATTTGATTTTGAGGAACTTGGTTTTGAATCTTTCAGTACTGGGTCAGCCAAGGGAACAAATGGTGCGATTTCTGCAAAATCTTCCTCTCCAACAACCCTTCCAGCATAAGGAACCACGAGCTGGGGCAGCGCCACAAGGACAGCGTCGCGCAGCGGCTGACTACTATGCGGCAGGAGAAGGTTGCCAAGGAGAAGGCTGTCAATGAAGCGGCTCGCGCTCTCGAGCAAATTGAAGCTGTAAGTTGGTCCTTTTCCCCAATTCTTTATCTCATCAATAGTGGATGAATTGAAGTGGTTCATTATTTCAGAGGGGAATTGGATGGATTGAGAGGTAGAATTAGAGCAAAAATGTTGACTTGTGTTTGGGTTTAGTCTATGATCCATATTTACAGCAAAAGATATCAGAGTTTAAGGATGGCTGCAGACCAGAATTGTCCATTGAACTTGGTGTGGAGCAACTTTAGCCATGAGCCAGAGTTGAGATACTGAGTTAATCATTCTTTTTCGACTCCCTGCTTTCTCTTGTTACAGCTCAATGTTTTGCCTGTTTTTAACACTTTCTGGTTTCTGTGATGAGATGTGATTTTCTTGGAATGATTCTCTGGGTAGTAGTCAACTAGGGACGATGCCAGACACGAAGCTAATATCATGTCTCTTACTCTCCTTTTAATGTATGCTTTGTTGATTTATTTTGTTTGTCAATACTGCTTACTACTCGTTGTTTTGTTTTGATTACCAGAAAGCTAAACGTAGCTATCAAAAGGATGTGGCAACCTTGAAGGAGGCTGGTGATGCCCGTGCACTGGATATCCTAGGAGATAGTAAGGAAAGTAAGTACACAGATTCTGTTCCTTTCTGACATTCATCCATTTCTTTCGGTGTTGCCCCTAGACTGCTCGTTTAAACATTTGTTAGCTATATTTGTCCTTAAGACGGGTTACTCTTTAACTTTACATTTTTAGTTGTTCCTGAGATATAACTCTTAGCACCCTTCAAGTAAAAAAGCTAGTGAGTTTGTTAGGAGTTTGTTCACCTAATGATTATAGGAGTCCGTGAGTTCCAGAACTGTTCACAAGCAGTATGATTGAATCTTGTCATTTCCATAGATTAGAAGTTGCCTTCAATTGCTAGAATCCTTTCCTTACCATCCAGACAATTGATTCCAACCCCTATTCGCATTCCTGACATAGTTATGGTTCTTGTGTAAGATCAATTAATCCTGATGCTTGTGGAAGTTGGCCCAGCAGAAGAAGATAAAACCAAGACAGATGTTTGAACCCTATTAAAACCATGAAATAAGTGAGTTATGTCCTTTAATTGGAACTCTTCTAGCAACTCTTTCATCAATGAATGAATCATGCACATACGCCCTGGCTAACTGCATTATATTTCTTACGTGTTTCAAATAATCCTCTGTCGATCAGCCATGGATGTTATCAATTTATCATTGTGCTGTTTCAATCTGACATATCTCTTTATGGCAGAATGGGACTTCGACAGTACTTCAGGCTACTACTACAATAACGATAATGGTTTGCATTACGATCCAAATTCCGGCTTCTATTACTCTGATGCTATAGGTATGTGGTGAAAAATTAAACCTGTCGTAAAAATGTGAAATTTCACTTTCCAGGGTATGTGTTTAAATGTTTGTTTGACTTGAAGTTATGGCACAGGCAAGTGGGTAACAGACCAGGAGGCGTATGCTGCAGTTAAGGCTTCAGCAAACGGCAAGCACCAGAAGCCTTCAGTCTCGGTGCCAATTTCTGCGAAACCGAAAACCAGTCCAGTCACAAGTGGCCCGCCACCCGGTCCAGTTGTTTCGGCATCCCTAAACCCCACGAGATCTGTCAAAGGCAAAACTTCAGCAGTCACTGTCAACAAGAGAAAGCGAGAAGAAGATAAAAAACCGAAGGTTTTATCTCAAGAAGACAAAGCTGCGCTTAGAGCAAGGGAGGCTGCTAAAAAGAGGGTCGAGGATAGAGAGAAAGGATTCCATGGACTCTACGGCGGCAAGCGGTGATTCGAGCTCTGCCTGACAATATCATCTCAAGAACATTTAGGGTATGCATTCAGTCTTAACTGCCTTGCGTTCTTCTTTGTAATGCATCCATTTCCCTGATCTTGCAGTCTGTACTTGTACAAAAATAGAAGAGTTGCGTCACTTGAATTGAATCTTCCAACTGTCCATCGTTTGCTGCAATGATCGTGCTTTGATTGTCTTCTTTTGACAAATAGCAAGTCCAACGATAACGGCTTAGAGCGACTTTCTATAGCATTGGTGTGATGATATCGAGAATCTGAATTCAATCTTGGTGTAGGCTTCTGAGTTCCGCGGACCAAATGAATCGAATATAATGATGGTCCGGTCTTTGGTTCTCATGAGTTTGGTCCGGTCCGGACCGAACCAAACTGTTACACACCCCTATCGCTAATCCATCACAATCGAATCTTATACTTTAAAATAGAAAGATAACACTTTTTCTTCTCTTCTAACAACTCTCCAAATTAAGTAGTTCGTTTTCCACAAAATTAAAAAGGAAATGTCTTAAAAGTGGAAGGGGGGAAAAGTGAGGGATTGGACATGATTAGGAGAAGTAATTCATGTGAAAGTATCCTTTCTTTTGTTTGCTTTTCTTCCTTCTCATCTGCAAAGAAAAATATTAACCAGAAAATGGAAGAAGGTGAGGCCTTTTAGTAAAAGATAATTGGCATGCCGATTCCCCCCTTTTCCCTACACGAGGATTATGTGCCCTCCAAAAGCAAACACCTTAGGCCCTTGCCGACGGCCTCCTGTACTTATATGTTCATCATAGCATATACGGTTTTCGTATTGAACTACACGTAACTATACCACTAATCGCGTACTCCTTCCTCCGTGTTGTTGACAGTGGTGGAGACGAAGACGCGCATCGACCAGAAGGGAGAGCGCGCAAAGACAAACTTCAAACCCTGGATCGCGCGACGAGAAGAGCAAGCAGACCAACACGCGCGACGAGAAGAGCAAATTAAAGGCAGGAAGCATTGTTTCGTCATTCTTGGTAGCCTAAATTATGAATAAATAACACAGAGGTTCATTTGATTAGTACTGATACAGATACATAAAAATAAAAATAAAAGCTTGTTAAGAACGGCGAAAATGAATTCGTGTGGTCCTCTTCTGCTTTACACTGTATCACTCCATGATGCAATGTAATTCTTTTGATTTGTATCTATTTAATTAATTAGTTAATTTTCTTGAATCTAAACCTTTTTTCCTTTAATTTCCACCACCCTAATGATTATGCCATATTGAAAAAAATTTCTTTACAACCCATGTGTCCTGTCTCTATGCCCTGCACAATGCCTTTTGTTTGAAGGTTTTTTTTAGTTAATCCTTTTGTTTGAACGGTTAACATCGAGAAAAGATCTACAATTTAGGACAATATAGCAGGAGAAAACATATTCATAGTTCTTAATTTGATCGACTTGTGAATTATGAGTAAAAATTCATGACATTTTCGGTCCATGTATGTTGCTACTTTAGCTAGGTCTTACACGTATCTAGTTATTACATGCTATTAGCAAAAATAAGTAATGTTTTTTAATGGCTAATAACGGTTACTACAAAAACGTTATTGTTCCACCTAAATGGCATACAAAGTAATATACAAAATTTGAAAAGCGAAACTTTTTCTTCCTTCTTCTCCACGTCGTTCTAATTTGTGCTTCATTGTCAGGACTTCTGCAACTCCATCTTGTCAATATGATTTTTCTGCTCATTGATTTTGTTGTCAGTTATTTGTACGGGTTAACTATATCTCTTGTGCGTAAAGCCATACAAGGACATCGATCTTCCTTCTCTCGTCAGGTTTAATAAGTCCCGACTATAGTTTTTGAACATTATCCCATATGAAATCGCTTTGTCCAAATTGCACTAAAAAATGACAAGCAATCCCAATTTTTCTTCCTTAATGATCCTTAGGTCAAGAAGACAAATCAAACTTTTCATACTACATAAGATTAAGAGATCACTCGTTCAAATTCAGCTTCTACCATTTTTAATTAGGATACTCTTACAATTCATATGAACAAACCCTCTTTCTTGTGGAACACATTCATACCCAAATCCACTAGCCGACCCAATCAAAAATAAAAATAGAATGAATTTAAATTTATAACACTATTTCCATTGATCATCGATTACAAAGAGTAACCCGAAGAATGGTATGACAGTTCATAATTGAATATTTATCGATCCCAAAAACCAGAAATAAATTAGGAAAAATGAACAACAAAAAAAATTCTATCCACGTGTCAAAGACCCAATTCCTCTGGAAATGTCAGGAACCGCCGCCGGATTGAATCCCAGGCAGCCCAACAGCCCCTGTTTATACGGCAGAAACGTCTTCCGCTTCATCTCCTCCGCCGCCGCTCTGTTCGCCGTGTAATGCATCTCGTGCGCCGACACCGCCCGCCGCGAGCTCCCCAAGCTCTCCGTCGACCGGAAGCTGCTGCAGTCCCTCGCGTCCTCTGCCGCCGCCGGCGAACCCCTACTCGACAGCACCGCGTATTTCGACGCCGCCGACAACTGCTCCGCCCTCGTCGCCCTCCCTTCCGACGCGCTTCTGAACAGAAGGAAGTCCCTCAGCTTCCACTTCTTGTACCGCCCTTTCGACGAAAACGAAATCGCCGACAGGAACGCCGCCGCGTAGGACTGCTTCTCGCCGCCGGCGACCGAGTTGAATTCGGAATTGCAGTCGTCCTGATGCTCCAGCATCACGTCGGAGATTCTCATCGGCGACAGCGACCTGCTGCTCCCCCGCCGGCCGGAAACAGAGTCGAAAAAGGAATCAGAATTCTGCCCCGAATAACCGCCGATCGCTCCTCTCCGTCCTCTTCCCCGTTCTTCCTCTGCATCTCGCTTCCGATTCTCTTCAATCGCTGCCCGAAAAGGGTCGAAATCTCTTTTTTTCTCCGCGGCGCGAGATCGCGGGGACCGGGGAGAAGCGACGGAGGATCCGGCGCCCGAATCGTACCCGGGAGGGGGTTTCAACGGCCGGATCTTACCGCCGTCGAAGAGCTCGTCGGCGGCGGATAACGAGCTCCTACCCAATTGACCGCTGAAATCGAATTCGAAATCGTAATCATCGTCGAAAAACTCAGCACTCTTCGCTCTGGTACTACTGTTACGCTTTGGCGTCCCGGGCTTTTCTTCCCAATTGAAAGGAACGGCGGAGGAGGAATCGGCGGCGGCGGCGGCCATGGAATCGTCGAGGAAGAAGGAGGCGGCGGCGGCGGCGGAGGGGCTGGTGGGTGCGCTGAAGAAGAAAGTGGTCCCGAAGCGCTGAGGGCTGGAAGGGGCGGTGATGTAAGGGGAAGAGCAGGAGCTGTCGAAGTTGAATTCCGGCGACGGCGGTGCCGGAACCGGCTTTACCACCTCCATTTTCGTGGGTCGCCGGTGGAATTGGTTGATTAGTGAAGTAGCCCCGAGGCAGGGGCGGTGGAGGGAAGGGAAAAGGGTGGGAGAAATTTGATGTGAGGAAATGGAAGAGATTATTTATGGAGAGGAAAATGGCGGTGGGGGGATTAGGAAGGAAGGAGATGAGGAAAAGTAGAGGGGGCTCATGAATCACTCGGAGTGGTGAATACATGGTCGAGCTAAGTTGAGTAGAGTTTTTGTTTGTTAAAATTCGATTCGCTGATAAATCAGTCGAGTTTGTGTTCCGCTCCTTTATCAACGAGATAAATCGAGTAAAATTCGAATCGAATCATTCATTAAAATGTTGGCTCGTAATTGAAATTATTAATTCTATTATTTGATAAATGCAATTAATTGATCTCGTATTTATATACCTTGGTATCATATTATTTAGTTCTTAAATTATAACTATTTCATATCATATAATTTCATAGTAATTAGTATCGAAGCAATCTATAATATATAATTTATCTTTGTAATTATAAACAAAGTAAGCTCATAAGATGCAGATGGTTTTAATCATAAGCATGTGTGTATCACTATTACCGATCCTTCCCAATATCGGCGACTCGCTGGCCGATTGTTGTATTTGACGTTCATACGTCCGGATATCGCTTATGCGGTTAAAATCCTCATCCAATTTGTTAGTTCGCCCAGTAAAATGCACATGAAATTTGCCTTTGGTATCATGTGTTATCTCAAGTCTTCGTCCTGGGCAAGGCTTGTTCTTCACTGTTGCGAATTATCTGACCCTTATCGCCTATTGTAGAAGTTGGTTGGGACGGGTGCTTTACTACAGGGTATCTTGTCAGTGTTCTCATCTCTTGATGCATTAAGAAGCAACTAGCCGTGACGCATTCATCTGTTGAAGCTGAGTATCATGTTATCACAAATTTGAAAGATGGTGATTACATTGGCGTCAAGTTGTTTTAATTTCGTTGGGAAATTGTAACACTTAAAGATTAAAGCTGAAAGGTGAGAAATTAACATGATTATTACTCATTGCATCAATAACATTCTTATGGTTTCCCGTTGACATTTGATTTTGAACTCTCTCAGCTTAACGTAACTCCAACCGGAATCCAATGCCTCTCATTGAACAGTTGTGGGGAGGATAATGCTATTTTCCAAATTGTGGTTCATCCCATGCCTATTTCTGTGCAAATTTTTATATATAATTTCCTTACCTAAACCAAAAAAAAAAAAAATTATAGCACCTATAAAATTTTATTTCTCCATAACTCGATGATGTGAGATTTCAATTTGTGAATCCGTCAGTCGCCTTTCGATTCAATTAATATGGGATAGTTTGGAACTTTGGATGGATTAATTCAGAAATGAGATAGTTTGATCCATTGGCTTGTTTTGTAAAACGAGTCATTTATAATGAGTCAATTTGAATTACCTGCTATCATGCTAAATAATTGTAATTGTCTCAAAACGAGTTGATTCCTAATTCTGTATGTCAAATTGCTCCGTCCAATTTTGTACCGTCAAACGAGCCAATCTGACACAATTATCTCAAAATGAAGCAACTAGGTCAAATTGATCTGTTAGAATTCTTCATCCAAACGATCCCTGACTTCACCCAAGACAATTGGAACTCCTCATTCAATTCAAAATGCTCCAAACCAAATTGATCCATTCAAATTTTCTGTTGGCAAAACCGATCAATCTAATATAATTGTCTAAAAACAAAACAATTGAATTAAATTGATCCGTTATCACTTCACATCCAAACGAAATCCAGCTATTTTTCATAGTGCAATTTACCTTCTCAAATTTTTCATAGTGCAATTTCACAGGGCCCGGTAGGAACTCCTCGGATGGTATGTAGGTGGGACGGGGCCACTAAGAGTGGGTCCCACTCGGC